GAAGAGAAAATGACGTAAAACAGATATAGAAAGCAAAAGAAGCTGCTAAAAACCGGATGAAAACACTGAAATGAGGTTTGAGAACTTTCATTTGGCGGCTTTTCATATTGCAAGTTTTCGCTCCAGGACCAGCAATTCGCAACACGGGGTTTTGATTTTTGATGCGTCCTTTGAATTTTTACCCCCGCATTGACGTTTCTGTTTTCTGGGACGTTGTCTGGATTGTTGCGCTTGTTGTTCTGAGCAAGAATCGCCCAAGCTGGGAAAAAAAATCGATGCGAAAGCACTGAAACAGAACAAGGTGAAGAAAAACGCACTTTTTACGATTTTATGCAAAAAATTCCACCATAATCGAAGAGGTAAGGGCTGGGTGGTTGTCTGCATTATGAACAGAAGCAAGATGTATAGAATGCACGAAAAAACCGCATGAAAAGAGTTGAACTAGGAAAAAAACAAGAGATTTTCGAAAACAAGGTTTTTGCCGGATTTCTCGATCAAATGAAAAAACGTGGTTCTGGGACGTTGTCAGCGTTAAAATAGAGATCAAGAGCTTCAAAATGATATATAGCTTGTTGAGATTGGGTTCGAAACAGCGAAGAAAAGGGTACCAGAGCCAAATGCCCCGCGCCCCGCGTTTGGGGTAGCGAGGTAGCGCGCAGCGCGCGGAGACGCAGACGAGCAGCAGAGACAGACCAGAGCCGACGGGGCATTTGGCTCTGGTCTAGATCTCCGCGGGGTCTCAACGAAACCTTGCAACATTATATATCATTCTGATCGCCATGACACGGCGAGGAGAACTTACAACGTCCCAAGCTTTAAAAATCATTCATTAACGAGATAGACCAGCGTTTTCGTGCGCGACTCTCTTGAGAAGATTTAAGCATTTCTCATTTTCGTTTAACTCCAACAGCTTTCCTAAACTTCTGAAACACGATTTTCGTCAAATTAGAATTTGATTGAGAAGTTTTGTCCTGAATTCAGGTGAAATTTTTACAGAAACCTTCTTCTTAACTAGAAAAGGCTATGACAACGCAAATTCTCGGTTTCGCTGACATAACCTAAAGATATTATTCCCTATATTTGCTTCATTAACATTCGTTCCGATATAGTCAGGATAATAGCTTCCGTGGCTTCGCCCCGGATGACTTCTGCTTTTTTCCAGGTGAAGGTTGTGTCCCCTCATAGCTCTCAAAGTGAAGGTTACCAGAGTACGTGGCTCTATGTATCGAGGGTATGTTTTGAAGCTAAAGACAGCATTTTAGGAGAATGTAAAAAAACCGCCTTGTAGTCCGAGAATTGTTCTATTCGTGCCATATTTAACCACATCCGGAACATTGGAATGAATTTTTTAAAAATTAGCCTAACTTTGCGCAGATAAATATGACGGGTGAAGAATTGAAACAAATATCAAAAAAAAACATACAGAATTATTGCTAGGAAATGTAACCGTAAGAAAGAGAAGGAAAAGCTGCATCGAATGCATGTTGAAACTCACTCAGATCTTCATTGTGCATAGTTTTATAGCGGTTTGAAAAAACCGACAAAACTTTCGGGACAACCTAATATATATCTAAGTTCAGTTTCGAGTCTCGCTCTACAGGCGCTTCAAGCTAGGTGAAAGACATGGAAGCAAGAGAGTAATTAACGATCAAACAGTGTGCAATCTTTTTGGGACTCCTGGTATATCTTAGACAATTAACTGCTTATAGGCTTTGCAACATGAATGGATGCACAATAAATTCGTTTTATATCCTGATACGATGTGTATACGATGAAGTGGCAGTTTGAGCAATATAACTGGGTTTCACTGGTAACTGGTATCCAACAAATGAGGCTATGCCAGCAGGCATTGAGACCAAACTATCTACTCCTGTTTTATTTGTCTTCTGTGAAGCGGAAAAATACAAAAAAAAATCAGTGTAAATCGTGGGGACAAAAGTCTCACGGAGTGCGATATTCGTAGACAGGAAGAGCCAAACGTTGGTGTGAGTTGAAAACATTTGTGTGAGTTGAAAACACTCATAAAAGTGGTCCCACTAAGAAGTTTGAGATGATGCACTTTGTCGTTGAAAAGCTGCACTACCTCAAAATTTCAAGGCTCTGGCATACCTCACGCGATTGCAGTCACGCGATATGGCAAAGCTTCGATTGTTCATGACATTGACATTAACAGCACAAATAGGATATATGTAAGATAGGACATTTTGATAGCCTGCAAAGACACAATTTGCAGTCAGATGCGAAGGTTGATTGAAAATATCTGGTAGAGTCAAATAGACTCACGACTCAAATCGCGGGAGGTATTTTCTAATCTATTCTTCGACTCGTTGCAACGGTTGAAGTGTACTTAACACAGGATTGCAATGAGAAACAGGTACATTCCGTTGTCGGGACCTCTTTCTCATAGACTTCTCGTAAAATAATACATGCCTAGTCTGAAAAGAATTTTTCAAACAGGTTACTGCATACCGTTCAATCACTAATTCGCCTGCTTCACTGTCTTTTGTCGAGCTGTAGGTACCATTCTGTAGAGCTGACTTCAGCTTAGATTTACAGTGTGGAGCAAATCTCCTTTCTTTCTTCTTACTGTGGGATTACGGTAGGTTCAACATACTTGCTGGTGAATTAGATCGCTTCATGAGAAAATTTCAGAAAAAAAACCCTGGAAAACTGTGTATCAGGGATTTCAAACACGCCGATTTCATTACGCAATTTTTTACAGATTTCGGATCTTTTTTAGTGGTGTAATAATATTTTTAAAAGACATTGGAAAAGCAGTTATCACTGTTTCCTTGATATAAGTAAGGAATGAACCTGATGTACAAATTTGTATGAGAAATCAGCGACTTTGATTAGCCTAATGTAAAAGTTTCTGGCTTGTTTGGCTTCCTTTTTGAGGCACAATGCGACTTTCAACACCTAGAAAACCTCTTCGAAGTTCCCACCATCCTACAGTAACGAACGAGATCCGAAATTTGATCCATACTGTAATTCTAAGTCAAATCAGCTCTACAGAATGGTCGACAAAAGACGTTGAAGCAGAAGAGTTATTTAAGATCAAACAATGTGCACATCTTTTGAGACGCGCTATAGGTTCTAGACGAATGTTTACTTCCCCGGGGTTAGAAATAAACTGACATCTTCTGATTCCATTCACTTTTTTAAAATTGCGAGAGCATTAAAGCTGACTCAAAGACTGTACAAGTACATCTCATGAAGTCAAAATAACCCAAAAAAATCATTTGGACATCTTCGTCGCTTTCTACAGACTCAGGGCTTATTCCACGGTGTTTAAAGCGAAAATCTGTTTCACGGCTGTAAAGCTAATAAAGAAAAACCCTCAACTGTATTATTTCTTATTTGTTGAATTTGCCAACATGTCAGGAAAGTACATTCCATTTTTAGTCAGGGTTTACTGCTTACCCTTTCCAATACGAGAAATTCGCAATGCTCGTTACTGCTAATGATTATGATTTTCTAGGTTCTTAACTCGATTTCCGATCACTTTCAATAAAATCTTTAACGTGCACAGTGAATTAGAATACTTGCAATATGCTCCACAAAATATATGGAAATTTTAAGCGTCTGCAAACATGTTTGTAATTTGTGGTGGAAGACTTATGAATCAACATAAGTTTCATAACTAAACTAAAACATGCAGAGTGACAACTCATGCATACCATGAGGATGTCATGCGTTCTCAATGATATTCTTCGTAACTTTTCGCTTTTTGCAGCACATACAAACAAAACTTGGATGATCAAATTATGAATATGACTACAAGGCGATCTCATGGCTTTATCATGAAGTTGATATTTGCTACTTAGTCTGTGGTACCACTTTGGCAAAATTATTGATTTTGGTGGTCGGAGAAGAAAGCTAGCTCTAAACTAAGCTATTTAATATATACAGAGAAGGAAACAAGAGCTTGTCACTTATGTCCAGCTTTTTGTTGACCTACACACCCATTGCTCCGTATCCATAGCAGTCCATACACAAAACTTGCGAAACGCTACTCTGAGCACCAGACCGAAAAGCGTGATATCAAACATTTCTCTCGGAGCAGCATAACGTACTCTAAAGTAGCATGATTTGAAGTTCCCATTCTTTGCTCTACCATTACGAATCTGTGTGCTTCTTTTGAATTTGTCGATTTTTCTCTGCGAGATATGAGGCGCAAATATAGTCGTAAACTGAGCAAATTCTATTCTCTCGTTTTTACTGCGCAATTCTCTCATCATTCAATCAGAGCCACGTTGAATTTGAGAATATTGGGAATTGTACGAGTTTCTGCTGGACCATTTCGCATAAAGTCCATTTTTGTTTCTTTGCACTGTGCAGCTTCCAATTTTCGAAAACATTAGCTTTTAGATAAGTGATTAAGGAAGTGCGCCTGGAGACATGCTGAGGGAAAAGGAGTTGTTTCAGAACTTCAACTGACGTAACTCTTGCTTTCACGACAAAGATGTAGCTTGGGAAATTATCTCTAGTTTTCACGCTTGATCATTTTCAAAATCATGCCTTAGAAAAGATTAGAGAATGACAAGAACATGGAACTCGAGAATCAATCTGGACAGTGCCTTTCAGTATGCAATCTGAGTGCCAAGGAGCAAAGCAGAATGCATCAACACCTTCATTACAGTTTTTAAGGGATAAACACTAACAATAAGAATTAATTATGTTCAGCTATGTTAATGCTTTACATAATTTATTCATAGAATGTGCTTATGTTTATGAACATCAACCTTTTGTTGTTTAAAAGTCTTGGTATTCTTCACAAGCATGCTCTTTGATGTTCATGTGTACGAGTTTTGTGGCGCTTCCATGACAATCCGTTTCTCGCCAGCAGGCGGTTCCATTTCTTTGAGAACGGGAGGTTCGGAGAGCAGTTGACAGAAGGCGCAAAGTTAGCAAATAGAGTAGCGGCGGTCCCAAGATGCGTATAAATAGTTCGGATGACATGAGTTAAAGACCAGACCACTTCAGTCCGAGTTTTCGACATGAAATCGTAAGTTGTTTCTGTAAACTCTAACTTTTCTCAACCTTTCCCTTCGTTCAGAATTGCTTTGATATGTTTGGCACTGGCAATCCAGCAAGTTTGCTCACAGTACCTTTACTACTACTATCCATCATCTTATACGCCAACTCTCTACTACTATTACCCGACCACAGCATTAACACAGCCAGTCAATGATGGATTGGCGGTTGGAGGAGCTAATGCGCAAATGCAGTACCAGCAACAGCCGTACTATACGCAGGATTACGGTAATGGGTACCCGAACAATGGAGGAAATGTTCAACAACAGCAGTACTATAACCAGCAGTATCCGCAACAGGTGAGCCAATTTGGCAAAGAGGAAACCATAACCAAGAGTTCTCAACTCCAAAGGGAGGGTTCGCCCTGTTGCAGTCTGGCCGATGCGAGAAAATTTTCTCGAGAACACGACGGAACATTTTTCTGAATAAAGAGTCATGGCTTTAGACACTTCCGAGAATTTTTTTCGTAAAACCTTTAGGGTTTTCGAAAGGCTGGAGTGAAAAAGGGAGGGGGGGGGGACGGTAAACATAAACATACCCCCAAAGTTCTTTCAAAGAGCTAGTTCGGACTTTGTGGTATTGCAAGATTGACTTGCTCATTACAAATTGAAATGATCTACTTATACAGCTTAGTAGGCTTGTAAATCGTTTTGAAAAAAAGCCTCTCTTTACCTTTCCGAAACGAAGGGTGGGAGAGGTGCTTGAATTTGTTGTGAGCAGCTTATTTTTCTGTCAGTGATATAACGCAGAAACTGTTGATTTCAGAATCAACTCGATAGTCAGAAACAACAACAACAACAACAATTATACTATAACCCTGGAGCCTCTCAATTGCCTTTACAGCAACAGGGATACCAAACAGAATACAATCAGGTTAGTTTGTAAGAAATGTCGTTTTTACAGTCGATCGATATGCTTGAGGGGAGAAATTGAACGCAACCTGAGTTTTCTAAGTAGAAAATTTGAAAATTTATGCAACTTTTCGAAGTGATGATGAGCAACAATGCATTTTTTTCCTGTTTTCGTTTTTGCTTCGAGATAGCTAATTACTCATAATCAGAAGCTAACTATGCCTGGTTTTAGCCGATAGGAGGCCAACAATATGACTACTCAATGCAATATACCCAACAGCAACCACAGTCACAGTATAACCAAGTAAGGAGCCAAATCCTCTCTTCTATGAATATTCACTATTACTTTTAGGGAGCACAACAGCAGCAGCAGTACTACACTCAGAATGCGGCCACTGTACAAACGACTACTCGATCTCCATATATTCAAAATTATAACACTCAATTGAAAAAGCTGCGAAAACGAAAATAATCGAATTTGATTGCTCATACCTATCATGATAAAGATTTTACTTATTCGTTGAGAGGAGCGATTTACATGAGCACAAGCTCATGTTTGAATGGACCGAGGTCAAGACGTATGAAGAATTCAAGCAATGTTGTGTTGAATATGAACACGTATGCAAATATCAGCAGTGACAGTATTGATGGGTCTACACTAATTTTAAAACCAAGGTAGACTTTAGTCTCCCTGCCAGTTTTTGCACCTTTTCAAATGAGTTTCGCACAAAACTGAACTGCTTTTAATCATCCTATTATTGCTCCCCCTCGAGCAATTCTAATTATGGTGCCCAGTATACTTCGGTTGCTCCAAAATGCGAGAATCTCGAGCTCTTCTAGTAAAACTACCCCTTCCTTCAATATGTGGATTGTTAGGTGGTTCGCCTTCAGTGCAAGTTCGGCTTTGACATTACCACCAATTCCAAATGAGACAATCACATTTGGATCAAAACCTTCAGGCTGTAAGAAAGGACTGAATTATACCTATTTTCTTATTTACCTATGAACTCACACATATATTATCGCTAAATACATAGTACTTGGTCTCGTCAGCATTCACTATAGGTATCAGTTTTATATTTGACACTTTTGATTCAACCACACAAGTCTGAGTGATATTTGCGAAGCCCATCCATAGCTGCAAGAACATTGAATTCTACCCAATTTCAAATTTTTAGCTCATCAAACCCCTTTTGGAGTGTCTTTCTTTCGCTTTTCTTCGAAGTTTTCCACAATGTATTTGTGCCGGAGATCGAATTCCACTATTCTGTGAGATTCAAAAGTGTCCTGTGCCCTGTAGTGATTTCATTGAGACCTACAAAGGCTAAAGTAAGTACAAAAACTCGGACGAACGATTTGAAAATCTTGATTCAATTGAGGAGATCTTAGCAACTGCCAGTATTATCAGCACGGGAATAAGCAAGAGACTAGCAGCGTGAGAGCTGAGCAGCCTCATGTGTAGATTGTGTGAGCGCTCCAATTAATTGACCGCATTCTGTACATGTCAAACGCCATTCAACTCAATTTTGAAAAATAACATTTCAAGTCAATAAACACGTGCTGGATTGCATATATGCGTTTGTAGTGTAGCTTTCAAAGTTATCCTTATGGAAATCTTTGCTATTATCTGCTAGGACCAGTAATTCGATCAGTTTAAATACATGTATAGGATCAAACCATCTTAAGTGTATGTTTGTGTCTTGTGTACGTATGTAATAAGAAATCGGCTACAAAACCAATCGAACCAATCACAGATACAGTTTGAGGCGGAATGGGTGTCATATGCTACTGATATCGATAAATATAGATTTATTGCGTCCTCGGCCAATGGGGTTGGGAGCTGCTATGTTGGGGAAGGATGGGTGGGGTGGGAGCGAGTAAGCATGCTGATTTCGAAAACAACCGCTCCAAAAATATCGACCTTCTTTGTAGATTTTACAGTAGTGTCTTTTCAAGCTTTGAGCTGAGGCGGTGGATGTTGGCATTGAAGGCTAATCACAACGCTGATTGCGTAAGGCAGAAAGAGCAGGGAACAGACTTTTAGAAGTTAAACAGGGACAGATGAATTGTCAATAAGTGGGATGGAGTATTATACCATTATCTGTTGCTACAACCGGACACAGAAGGTTATGTTAGCTAGTATGTTGATAACTACAGTATTAGATGGTGCGAAATTTTGCTCCAATCCTCCTTTACTTCTCGAACAGAGTTCACGCGACTTGATCGTCACAATTTCCATTCATTTTCATTTTACAATCGAAAATTTCGGGCTGGAAAAGTATCACAACGAAATGCAAGCTGGTCGGCATGCAATGAACTCATAACAGTTGTCCTGTTGCGATCAAATCGCATGAAGTCTTCCCGCGGCCTTTCCCCCGAGGCCCCGAGAAGACTTCACCTTCCGAGGCCTTATGACGTACGCCGACGTTGCCTGAGGCGTAATAGTCGCCTTGATAGTTTATTTGCAGTGCGCATAGTACACATAGAATATCAGATTTACTGAGACACTCGACTTTCCCGCATTGGAGCAGTGATCGAATGTTGGTTGATAGACAGAATGAGTTAACACACATCTGGTGCCCTAGATAGTTATTATTGCAGGTCATGCTTGTGCATTGGCTTCTACGATACAGCAAGGAATATATACAACAAAAGAGAGTGCCATTGTAATTGGCACTCCGGCCGGCGCAAGAGTGCATGACGAAGCAAACAATCTACGATCCAATAACTGAAGTCGTAAACGGTACCATTTGTGCGGATCTCGTAGCGGAAGTTGTTTCAGCAGCAAACGAAGGAAGTGATCTGGGCGACTTAATTCAGCGGTTGTAGCAGTAGCTGTTACCTTTGACAATGTACTTCCAGTGTACTCGTCTTTTTGCTAGCAAAAAAAAAGTTCTTCCCTAGAATCTTGTTCAAGCTTGATCTCCGAGCAGTGTTTTCTGCAAGAGATTTTTGGCGTCAGTCTGGTAAACATTCTTCTACGTTTTAGTCAGTCTTCTGCTGTGTTGTCCCTGGAAATGAGCATGCATGATATCGATCTTGTTTAGCTGATGCATCGACAAAAGCTAATGTGTGGGTTGCCTAAGGCCCCGGACAGACTTCACGCGATTTGATCGTGGCGACTCAATCGCCGACATTTCCATTCATTTTCATTTCACATTCAAAAATTTCGGGTTGGAAAAGTATCACAACCGAAATGCAAGTTGATCGGCATGGAATGATGTTGTAACAGTTGTCTCGTCGCGATTCAGTTGCGACGATCAAATCGCGTGAAGTCGTCCGGGGCCTAATGCGGAATATCCCCTTTAGTAGTGTATTGGGCAAGCTTTTGGAGTTTACTTTATTAAGCCTGACCCCGAGTCAGGCTTAATAAAGTTCTTGAATTTAAATGAATGGTGGTTTTTTTGAAGTTCTCAAGAGATCTCTGCGCAAGAATGTAGCTCATTACAGCAATCGTCTTTCATAAAAACTGTGGGTTTTCTGATAATAATGACCGGTGTAACTCGTGAATTAGTTTTTGCGCCAAAAACAATGACTTGTAGTAGCTAAAGCAGAAATCTGATAGCGAAAGCGGATTTTACTACAGCAGAAAAGTAAGTGAGGGCTTTATATCTGCAATATTACAAAATGTGAACTTTCGAAGATAAAGTGGGTGGTTCGAAATTCTCAGGAGTAGTAGGAGGACGTAGGACTGATATTGATTCACCTCAATAATATTCCTACATGTAAGTGGACAAAGTTTCTGCATGAGTATGAAGATAAATTTGCATAAGGACTTTTCAAAGGGATGGGGGTGATAATAAGGGATCGTCAGTCGAGTAAATCGAACGAGTGCAAGCGGGCTGGATAATACTATAGGAACTTGTGGCGTTAGTCATCTCTCTGAATTGTCACCAGTTAGTGTTACGTGTTGGAATTATGAGGCATACTGCCGAAATTGAACATTTGACGGTAAGAAGTAACAGGGTGACAACAGTGAAAGTGGTAATGTGTGACGAAATCTCAGGGTTTTCATTTCAAGGTAAGGTCCCTGATGACGAGACGAATATACTCTTGAACATCCTGTTGGTCCAAATTGAACTAAGCTTTTATCAGCTTTGCTCATATATAAAGCCGAATGTCTGTGTCTGTATGGTGCGCATGTACGTATATGCCGGACGGAATTTTTTATTTTTTAACCAATCCGGACCAAGCTTTGCGTACATATACTTCGAGGCGGGCAGTGTGTCGTAGGCTACCTTATCGATCGACATCTCTCAAACTTCAAGCTACGGGACTGGGAGTCGGCACAGAGGGGTAAGTGAGCAAAATGATGAATATAATGAGCGTTAGTACTGACAGCGCCAGGCACAGCAGGGTACGCTAACTACTATTTAGTAAAACTAGCAGAGCTTGTATCGCCGAAAGCTTGTAAGTACAGTCGGATACCATATGATCATGTGTGTCATTGCACACACAGTTCCTCGATTACATCAATTTGAGGTGATTAGTAGCCAAAAAGTAAAAAAAAATGTTGAGGACACATCAAAAACACTTACCTGAAAGGTTTTTCTCCCACGAAACCCAGGATGGAAACGCCAAAGGTGGACTGCGTGTAATGACACACATGATCATATGATATGATTCGACTGTAGTTTCTTTGGTTTGCTTGCTTTCATACTCCTCCAACAACTGTTCGTATCAAGGACAGCCCCTTTCTCTTGGGACTCTGGAATATCAAAAGTAGCTGACTCTGAATATAAATTGCACTTCGTAATGTCTCATTCAAAACTCATGACAGGAATACCTTAACAGTTGTATTTTCGATGTTCAAAGAAAATATGTTTTCATCGGTTGAATTGCTTACAGCTTTGTGAATTTTTGTAGCGCGATAGAGTGAGTAGAAACCTTGACTGACTAACTTAGTTATAAATGGATAAACAATGTGCTCATCTGGGACCCTATATGATTTCATGCAACCTTGGCCCAAGTTCACTTAGATCATCGCATACACATTTAAAAAATTAGCTTCTTAAGTTTGCTGTAAAATAAACAATTGAAAGCAGCTGCTTCAACCTTTATTATACATGACAAATCGAGCTGCCATTGGCTCTTATTCATGTGAAGATTCTCTATTCGTTACATAAAGACCAAATCGTATCAATCAAGATCATAGTCATCTTCTTTCCTCCAAATCTTTCTGAGGCTTGTTTTAGAGGAGGGGACATCTAGTGTTGAAGATAATAAAGGACACAAACAAATACACACAAATCATTCTTGAATAGTTCTGAACATAGTCACGTTTAAAGATGCCTCTGTTTTAGCAGATTAATGGAATATGCTTGTGTAAAAGATGTTTCCTTATACGGTGATGTGTGCTTTAATGGAAAGGACTATTGTGCAAAGTAGGAGAAAAGCTGAAAAAGTGAGAAGACACACACGATCCAGCACCATGGCTGCAAACATCCAATCAGCCTGTTGGTCGTGCATTAATTCCTCAATTAAGATGTCATAAAAAGGCCTCGCTATTCTCGAAAAAATGTTTGTTTAATACTGTATACCTCTTTTCTGACGTGCGACGAGATAACGCATAGCTCTTTCATGATACTTGTAAATTGCCGGTCATCTAACGCATCACCCAGGACATGCACCTGCAAGAATTTTTTTCACTCTCAGGAAACTAATTTTCAAATGACTCTAAAAATCTTTGGAGTGTATACTAGCGTAGCGCACATATTAACAAAATAATCTTTGTACCATTGGATGGAGGGCGTTCTTGTATCTCATTATATCTACGCAAGAACTCCGTCTGCCATTTTCTGGAACTTGACATAGTTCAGAGCAATCATCTAAAAATAAATGTGAGATGCATTTGATTGTGATTTAGAGTTCAAGACAAAAAATTTACTCCAAAGCTCATCGCGCTTGCACAATCAATTTCAATGTCCTTCGCAAAATGTTATAACACATGCTCTTTTCCGCATTGATTATACTGTGTGCTGTTGACTGCAATCCATATTAACCACGTGTTCCCTTTTTGTTGACTACGCATACGGCTGTGAGTGCGCAGACTCAGACCATCAAAGGCTTTCAGCGGGCGGCCATAAAGCCACCGCCATGCCCCACCATAAGCGCCGTGGCCTTATCGCTTCACTGTCGCTTCTCGCTGAGAACCGTGTCAGAATTGGCAGCTAGCGGGCTGCTATAACCGCCACTTTTGCTTCGCGCTGAAGACTTTATAGCATCCCGGTCGCTGCCAGTTCTGACATAGTTCTCAGCGGTAAGCGACAGTGAAGCGATAAGGCTACGGCGCTTTTGGTGGGGCGTGGAGCTGGCTTTGTGGCTGCCCGCTGAGAGCCTTCGATTGTCTGAGGATGCATTCCCGAACACGTCCAATTCGAACGCTCAAACGGTCTGCCCAGAACGCGGCACGAGGCTCCAGCTTTGCGCTCGAGCTGATCAGAAAGAGAGCGCATCGTTGACATTGATTACAAAAACTCCCCAACTTTTATAATGGCTTCCTTCTATTACTTGAAAACTGGTCATTAATATAGATCTTGAATTTGAAGCAATCACTCACAAATGCCCATCGAGTGTGATGAAAGTCTTTTTTGCACAGCCATATAGTTGTGTGCCCAGGAGTCTTGTGAAAACATCTTAGAGCCTGCCAAATTGCCCGCTGTTCTTATCTGACATACTTGTAGAAGGTCAAAAAAGAAGTCAGAGGACGTCGGGCTCGTATAGCTCGTTTTGAACTTCTTTTTATCAATGTTGCAATTATATGCAACACCATTTGGCTTTTCAAGACTGAAAGGAAGGGGGCGTTTCATGAAGACTAGTGATGGCAACCATTCAAGCATTATCTTCTTTGTCTGGAAAATGCACACTCGGTTACTGAGAGTGGTAGCATAAATTCCTGCACAGACCAGCGGCCTCATTGCGTTATGTCTTTCTGGCGTCCTGTGGTGAAAATTCAATGTGAACATTGTGCATACAACAGATGCCCACACTTCGAACATTATACAGCAGAAATAAGCCTCTAAAGTTCAAAGGACAAGAATGTAGTCGAGAAAGAAGGCCGTTTCCTACCTATCAACGGGATATGGCCGCTTGTTGGAGGCATCGCTTCGTTTACCATGTGCATAAACACACAAAGAGCCATAAAAACAGTGACACCCAAAAATATCATTTATAAACCTAGTCTCTTCTAAGCAAACATACATCATCGAAAAGCATTGATTAGCGCGGTATGGTGAGGGGGAAACAGAGATTGTTGAGGGCTTGGTACCAACTTCTTGAGGTGAACCAGTTGTTTTACACCGATTGATAAGCTGGCTATAAAACAATCCTGATATGGTGAACATTTATTTCAAAAAATTCACAAACTTTAAAGAGAAAAAAATTATTTATGGGCTAAGCATTCGTTTTGAAATCTAGCTATGACAACTTATACACGATTTGTGAAATACTGGTTTACTCAACATTATTTGGTAGAGGTTACAATAAAAGCGTGTTTAGTCGAAGTGGCCTTTCCACATGTCACCTATATCACTTTGTAGAGCACTGAACGATGACTCCAAATTTGTCTTCCTTATCTGCCAAGCGCTTTTAGAATCTCGAGTTAGGAGACATTTATATCCTCCTGAGAAATTGAATGCGCAACTGAGAACAAATCGCCTAAATTTGCTCAAATGGTCAGGTTAAAAATATCAAAGCACTTCATTTAGTGAATAAAAGTTTGGAGTCAGCGTTCGATGCCCCTTAAAATTGTATAGACTCAACTGGAAAAGCCACTTCGACTAACACGCTTCCCCTGGTAGTAAGCAAATAACGATCTATATTGTAATCACTTAACAATGCAGATTGAGGCAAAAATGCTCGTAATTATCGTGATCCTGCAGTCATTGGAGGTTTTGAAACCAACGTTTCAAACTGCATTAAAAGACACCAGACTGTACTAATAGTAAGATCCCTTTTGCGTTGAAACTATGCATACGCGTCGTTATGGGCTTTCAGAAATCAGTGTCCGCCAAATATGATCGATAAGACGATTAAAAATCTAGACTTCCTAGACTTCTGAGTTCATTATAACTTGTTCAATACAATCCCCTTTGACACCTTATCTGAACATACTCAAAACATTCAAAACATCTATCACTGAGGAAATAGCGATTAAACAAACTGGAGGAGTAACAAGAGAGGAACGATACAACCCATAAACCACAACTTTAGCTGTGGGTCCAATAACACCAGTAAGGAAAGAACATGATAAGATGCTGATGGAACAAGCATCAATCCCAGGAGCACATCGATATGGCGTTGACAAAGCGCAAGAATCTTGTGGTACGGCTGCGTAAGTTTATGATTACAGTAAAGGTAGTGTGTCATTGACACATGCTGCATCTCTTTACATAACGCCAGTGCAACTCTTTCGTTTAACTAGTAAACAGTTTAATGCAAAGTAATGAGCGTATCTTCTGCTACAATGCTACAATTTACAATGTGAAAAAATGCAATCTAGCACTATCGACAAGGCTAAGCATGCTTTAAAAAATAACCATCAGACATCCTCGTTCACAATCCGCAGAAGGTTGAAACCAAATTTTAAGAACGTTCGATGTATTAAAAATTGGATCTAAGTCCAGAAAAATCCTAAACACTTCCTACTTGGTTGTCAATACACACAGATATTCACATATGCATTCGCTGTCTTTTGCAGCTGTAGATTGAATGGCAAACACAATTAGCGTTAATTTCAAATTATAGCTGCACTCAACAATTTAGAAGTAGGACCTTGATTTTATCCTCCTCCCATATTTATCGAAGAACATTTAACACAAAGAGCATGTTTGCGTAAAAAAAGACGTTATTCTAGTATTCCTATCTACTTGTTTCTTGACTTTTAGCCTGAAAAAATAATGCGTTCATGTTTCAGAAGTTTGCTAGAATTTTTAGAGCCGAAGACCAAGTTTAATACTTAAAACTGTTATAGTTTTATCCGGCCCCACTATTCAGAAAAAGATGTTACTTCTATCCATGAACCATATTTAGTGCTAATTTCAAGGAAAGAAGTAACCACCGGGCTCAGCACAGATGGTTTAAACTCAAACCTGACTTCGTTTTTGGAGTAAAAAGAAAGGATGTATCTTTCAACGTCCGCGGCGAAGCACATAAAAAATAGATAAACATGTTTACGCATTGTTGTTTTGCAAGCGTGCGAATTTCAATTGGACTCGAATAAGAAAAATTTACAGCGCGTAGTGATCAAGTGACACCAAATATGGGTCATGCGTATACGGTATTACCCAGGATACATTATGCAAAAATTTTTGAAAACTTATACAGGGTGTCCCAAAAAAAATGTTTCGAACCTTTGATCGTTAATATCTCTCTTCCCAAGAAGTCTTTTGCCTTGCTTCAGGTACCTTTTTGTAGAGCTGGCTTCAACTTAGATTTTCATTATAGAACGAATCACCCATCTCTCTTCATTACTGTAGGATTACGGTAGAAACTTGAAACATATGGTGTCAATGTGGAAAAAGCTGCCGTTTCAAAATTTTTCGAAAAATTGTGAAAACTTGTGTAATAGGGTTTTTATAGACGCTGAGTTCAATACTTAACTATTCACAAGATTACGAAGCTTTCTAAACGGTGTAATCGCACTTTTTAGGAACATTGAAAAAAAGGCCGCTACGCATAACTCTTCAATGAAGCATCATAAAAAGTTGGGAACTTTACAGTTAGAATCAGCAACTCTAATTAACCTAGTATAAAAGTTTTCAGGCTGCTTTGTCTCCTTTCTGAGGCAAAATATGGCCTTTCATGGCCCAAAACCCTCTTTCAACTTTCTACCGTAATCCTACAGTAATGAAGAGCGATCGGTGATTCGCTCTATACTGTAAATCTAAGTTGAAGCCAGCTCTACAAAATGGTACCTGAAGCAAGGCAAAAGACTTCTTGGGAAGGGAGATATTAACGATCAAACGTTCGAAACCTTTTTTGGGACACCCTGTATATCCTAGTGCTCGCTCGTTCTCGAATTTGTTGGCTTCTACACCAACACCAAAACTTAGTTGGTTTGGAGCTTGCATATCGGAGAGTTTACATAAGTTTCGGGCCTTTTTGATTTGGAAGAGCGAACGCCCAAAAATATATCATATAATGCAGTCAAACCTTGCCTCTCTTTATTTGAACCGACACTTCTATATACGCATTGGTAAATATCGCCAATTACATGAGTGTCAAATCTTTCTTTGAACTATGTGGTGACAAATGCACCTCCAAATTGTTGATGGCTGTAGATGGAGTTGGCCTAGAGAGTTTCGACTTCTAAAGAGAGTTTCGACTTCTAAACGGCAAAATGGTATCATTTCTAGCAAGGTAGCCTTTAATCGGCTCAAAATGTATTAGGTCATAAAAAAGTTTCCGGGCACTTGCAATTTTTTTCAAATCGCTGTAACTTCAAGCAGATTGATTCCCCTTGAAGCTACAAACTTCATTGTAAAGAAAGTATTGTCTACAACATGCACTAGTCTTGCTGGTTTTGCAGCACCTCATTACGGTTTTCCACATACGCAGAAGGAAAAAAGGTCGACGCGAAAAGTGGCCTATTTGTGCAAGATTATCTCGGGCATGATGGAAGCTGGAGAGCTCAGATGTTGTTCTCATATGAAAGTCTGCTGGGGTGTTATGGGAAATTTACGCCTTTGAGTGACTACATGCAAGAGAGATTCTTCCAGAGAGTTTGAAAAATCGATCATATTTTTTCCCTAAAAATGCACAATTTTTTGAGTAAGAGATTTTGAAGTCTTCTCGTTTTGCACAGGGTGAACCAAATTTTTGATTACTACAAACATTGTTGGTGTAATGCCTTGAACATCTTTTGGATCCATCATCCAGGCATGGCGATCCCCGCAAAAGCGGCTCAGCTGAGAAAAGAGTTGCAGTCAGAGGCAAGTTCGACAGCTTGTTCCAAGCGAAAATCGCGAAACTCAGTGCAGCAGCTTGTCAGAAATTAACAGGCTCCTCATTCAGATCACCCACGAAATGGACGAAATTCTTTACGCTGCACCAAAAAATGGCCAAGGAAGAAAAATTATGAAATTATTATGGTTGGGAAGATCTTTTTTGTTGTGCAGATCAAGCAAGTTTTGACATCGATTAAATCAGAAGCCGTTTTGAAAACTTTAGACATATCTCTACTGAACAGTATAAAAAAACTTGGTGTGAGAGTCCAACCGAGCACCAAAAAATGCGTCAGAAAATGAAATTTTCAAAAGTGCCGAAAAAGTTTTTGCTTACAACCTAATACTTCTTGGCTTTTGTTGTATTAAAAACGTCATAATATGCTTTTTTTGCTTTCGTATTATTATGTTGACTGAATAAATATATTGACACTTTTCAATTTTTTTATGCCATACAAGATTTGTTATGATGCAGCTTTATTCAATCGGCCTTACGTTTCAACGGGTTCGTCTTCCTCAAAGGCCTGGAAAATTCAAAGCATAATCTGCAACACTATACCACCAAACGTTCCATCAAAATCTTGCTAGTTTCGGCGTCGTTCCAAATGTACTCCACGAAAATGACACGGAGATGAACCTACCCTTGCACCACCGCTATATGTGATGTCCGCTAGAAGTGACTGACGTAGCAGACGACTGAGCTACACAGTAGAGTGCATGGTACATTTTATCTACACTTTATAGCTCGCATAAGGATACGATAGGTAAGAAGTCTGCTGTTATCGATAGACACTCATTCTTATTGTTCATTAGGTGGCATACCCGGCTCCTCTCGGCCCTGTCAATGCACTTTGGTGACTGCCATTTCCAATTTTTTTGAACATTTCGGTCCCTGTCCTCACTCACTTTATTATGTTTTTGTAATCAGCATGTCTTCTAAGCCCCCGGTGCCCTCCCAACCCTGTGGCTCAAACTTTGCAAAAAATTGGTAAAATCGGTAAAGGTGGCCGACGATTCAAAAACTAATCCTGTATTCGTAATCAGCATGCTCAATTTCCTCCTGTGCTGCCAACTCTCAGCCCGTAGCTCAAAGTTTGCAAAATATCAAAAGTTCGATAAAAGTAATGGATAGTTCTAGAAACTAATATTTCACTCGTAA